ACCCTGAAACCTCAAAGCCTTAAACCCTATAGCCGGGACCTGCCATTTTGCAAAGTCCCCCATCCATCACTGAGGACCCTAGCTTCTGGCCGTTCATAAGGTAGGGTGTTGATGATGGTTTCTAGGAAGGATTAGGGATTAGGGTTTTCATTCGTGGTTTTGGTGTGTGTATATTGGATTTTGGGTTTCTTAGTACCGGCGAGTGTATATATCGTGTATCCAACTGGGGAGAGGGGGGGGGGGGCGGGGGACCACGTTGGGGCTAAGCATGTCAGGGACATCCTTACGGAGAGCATGTAGAATGCGCCTGAAGAATTGTTCAGAAAGAACCAAGAAGCATCCGGCACACTGTTGCATAACCTAGAAATAAAAGATCCCTAAGCCTTGCGTAAGCTAAACACGTCTAAACACGTAGGCTTGGCGCCTAAATCCCCAACCTACGTAGATCCTCATCACACGCGCCCTTCACCCCGTATAGATGATTCCTGCAATATCCTTAAGGTGGGCGCCAGCAAGAATCCGTGTATATGAAATGGATTGCAGTAGCATTGTAGCACCTATATGCTCAAAATAGGCCCTAATGCCCAAACCTAAACCAGACTTCCATTTCAGGATAAGAAGGGCGGTCATCTGGCTGTAATGAAAAGCGGCGGTGGCCTGACTCTGCGAGAATCGGCACAGTGCCCAAAAGAAGCTGCTGGGACTAAGAGGAGTTTCATGTTTTATCTTACTTGTTGTTAGTAGGGAAGAAGGGAATATACTATATGGGGATTGTATAGGGATTGTAGTCCAATATTCCCTGCTAACAACCACTAAGTGGTGCGATCCTATACTACATCTTCGCATTTTCTCCTCCTCCTCCCACAAAACCAGCCCAAATGCGGCCTAGCCAGGGTTTCTTTACGCCTTGTTTTGGGGAGGGGGTAGTAGATTGAGGTGTAGTACATGATGAGGTAGTGCTGTAGGATTTGAAGGCTCAAGAGGTTGGATTGGTCGTGCTCTAAGGCTCTATAAGGACTCCAGGCGTTGTGTGCCAAGGAAAACGCTTGGACTAGGACATTGAAATTTCAAGTGCCCAACAACTGAGCGGTGAGGTAGTTGCAGATTCTTGTTGTGATGATTTTTGCAAGTCCTGATATATATATATATATCTCTCTCTCTCTCTCTCCTCTAGTCCAGCTCTACTGTGCCTATTGTTCATACTTGGACCCTGAATATTGAGAGGGAAGGCGCAGCGGCTTTACAATATGACAGACTTCAAATGGGTGGTTGTCAAAATTATGGTGCCTTTTTGGAATCCTTATTGTAATACGTCACCTAATATGTGTGGTACCGAAAAACTTCCGGCTCTGGTTTAGGGCTTCGGGAGTTTGAGCCTTAGAGTGTTTGGTGTGGACAAGTTGACGTCCGCAGCCGAGATTTCCACGGCCCTGCTTGCTCCCCAGGGTTGAGGATCAGGGTTTAGGGGCTTCAGTGCGGGGAGTATACAGGACAATGTTTTTTGGTGTCGTTCGAATAGCTCTTATTGAGCTTAATGTCAGGTGGTTCGATTGTAGCCGACATGATAAGCCTCCAGCCAGAATCGCTTGCAATACAAATACCGACGGGGTTTAGGGTTTAGCCATTACTTCGCTATGCGGGAGACAATGCTCCCTGGAGTAGACAGGCAACCCCATAAACCCGATAAACCCAATAGACCTTATAAACCCCATAAGCCCTAAAAACCCTATAGACCCTATAGAGCCTATAAACTCTGTAAACCCCACTCCCAACCCAACACTCCCGCATTCCTTGCAGCTCACGTGGTATGTGAGAGAGCCGAGGATGAGGGTGCCTTTCAAGATGTCTCCAAGCAGCCGGTTTGCAGTATTCAGCGCTTTTTCTCCAACATTTCCCTCTCGCCACGAACCATTAGCAGTACGCCTAGCCTCAAAGCAAAGAAGGTTATCTGGCATGCATAAGAAGGTGTTTTTGAGCGTGGTCAGCTGAGAAGGCCATGATACTAGTATATACTATAGTCGTTTCCATTTTCTTGTCCATTATCCCTATATAACCCCAATATACTGGGCATGTCCAGCAGAAGTATTACTTTTAAGCTTGGGGATCGGAGTTGGACACTGCCGTGCATACTGTGGAATTCGAAGAGCACAGGGCACAGGTAGCAAGTGATTCGCACACCGACATGGAAAGTATCCAATTCTTCCGGAACTGTAACTTTCTGCTTGGTAAGCATTTTTGGAGGCTTCTTTTGCGGGTGCGGCGGCAGTATCCAAGGTCAAGCCGCAGCATTTTGCTTGCCGTTGCAGTTGCAACGCGACATAGGCGTGTACTCATATACTGTTTGCATCGCAATTGCTTGACGTGTGCTGCCCACATGAACCCCTGAGGGTTCCATTAAATCCTTCATGGTTGCTGGGTCCTTCTGCTGCCTTGCTGCCGGGCCTTCCTTTTGTCTTTTAAGGAAGTTACTTTGAGGTATCATTACAAGGGAACTAGATCATATACTACATCTCTCTCTGTCTCTCTCTCTATATATACATATACATATATACGTATACACAGATGTATATATATATATATATGTAAATGCAATATCCCTTTGTGGGGTATCCGGTAGCCTATTTTAAGTGCCCTAACACTGTTCGCCGAAGTTTGGGGTTGACGCCCTGCCGTCCTTGTATCACGCTGTCAGAGGCATACCTTGCAATCTGGAATAAGGTGGTTCAATTGTTTGATAGTTAATTGTTTAGTGTTTAGGGTTTAGGGTTTGAACCTTAAAGGACCCTAGAACCCTGGGACCCTAGAAACCTAGAACCCCGAGGGCCTGTGTTGCTCACTTACAAGTTACTAAGCGTATGCAAATTATCTTCATGCCAGGCTCAGCGACGAATTTTACGGGTTGCTAGAATCCGTCACATCAGTGGCAAAGTGTGTGCTGCATTGCATGCTGTAGTTGTGTCGCACATTAGATGAAGCCTCGTACCAGTGCCGCTTCAGGGAAACGGTGCTTCAACATTCTTTTCAAGGAGAATAGCGAACGCCCATGATTGAGTTCACATTCCAATAACATTGAGGTGATCCGTTAAAAGTGCTGTAAGGTAATCCCCAATGCACTACACTCTAAGCCCACTAAACCCTAAATCCTATAAGCCCTAAACCCTAAATGGACCCTAGAGTCCTGAACCCTAAGCCATGGCACATCCTTGGTAGCACGAAGTCTCGCAATTAAGGCCCCCCATTAGGTAAGCTCCGAACTGTGGGCACTGTGGGCGCCTAATTCGGTCATTTCAAAGATATTTCAGGGTTTCCATGAAGAGGGGGCTCCCAACATACAGCGCAAGACACTACAATGCTTACTATGAGAAGTCTAAAAAAGGACCTCTGGTTTTGAAAGCCCCAGGTTCTCAGCACGACTCAGCAAGCCAACCTCATTGGGGCCATTAGCAGATTTGTTCAAGACTTTCCTCAGTTTTCACCTCCTTCAAGCACAAAACTACTCCGCACACGCAGCCCAGCTTCAATCCACAACAGTGCAGGTGGTTCAGTCAGCCAAGAGCAGGTCTCATTGTAGTCGTGGAAGAAGCACATAACCCGGAGAATCTAAGTACCTATAGAAGTTAAAACCCTAAACCCTCAACTTCATATACTTAGGCCCCAAAATCCCTCTGCATGAGCACTTAGTACCAAAGTCTGTTTTGTCGGTACCTGAAAGGTCTGGGTAAACGAGGTACACCTATTTCAGCACCAAGCCAGTAATAGTGACTATAAGGGTTAGGGTCCTCTTACATTCCTATTATTATATGCCACTATTACAGGGTGGGGCGGGGGTCCTCCTGAGGTACACCTATTTCAACACCAACAACCTCTGGGTTCATCTGGGAAAGTTACATGAGCTCTTCGAGAAGAACGGTGGAGCTTTGCCTCTGCCTGCAACTGGCCAACGCATTGAGACCCTTTGAAGGGGTCATAGGCTTATGTATGAGCTATATAGTCTGAACTCTTTAAACGGGATTTTATAGGGGAGTATTGTAGGGGTTATTAAGAGGGATACTAGGAGTCTAGACAATGGCTCACATGTGGTTCAAGGTTAGGTTAGGAAAAAAAACATGTCTGCAGTAAGTACCGGTGTTCCTTCAACATGGTAACTTAGCTTACATGGTAGCTTCCCGAAATAGGGGACCCCAATTTTGACCCGCAAAATACACTCCTTAGTATAGGGAATGCCGGAAAAGGTCGCCCTAGTTTTGGGAAACCCCAAACATTTCTTGACAGCAAAGCTGGTTCCTAGGGGCTTATGCTTTATTTAGGGTAACAAATCGTATGATCAGTAACATAACCTTTCTGCAGCATAGTAGAGTTTATTGGAATACATGAATCCCTTCCACGTGATATTTGACCCCCCTTCATTTAAAACACGGCTTTCCCCAGAATTCCAACTTCTGAAATCTCCCCCAAGGCTACTTCTTAAAAGGGCCAAGACTGAAGTTAATTACGGCTCAGATCCTCTAACTAAGGGGGGTCCCTAGCATGACGCTTAAGTATTAGGGACCTCCTTGATTCCCTGGATTCTGATTATTGTTGAATAGTTGTTTTCCTAGGAATTTATATAAAGTCTGCAAGTCTGAGATGATGTTTATTTGGGTTTGTTGTAGTTTTTAATCGCTTCCAATGAGATGCTACTGTAGCTAGGTTTCGAATAGATGTTAATTCGATTTTAGTTGGTTGTATTACGCTTTTCAATTCATCTTTAAAGGTGTTTTTTTTTTCTGATTTTAACTAGGTTTACATTGCTTTTAAATTGGTTTCACCTGATGGTACTCCGCTGTATTACGATTCGATTAATTTTAACCTGTTACATACCCAATCCCCTAATGTTTGGGTCGTATGATAAGACCCCCGCCCCCCCCAATACTAAGCCCTTGCGTATCACAGGAAAGGATTAGATAGAGGTTATATAGGTATTGTATTCCTTCATTCCCTACTAAGAACCAGTAAGTAACACTAGCCACTAGTGTTTCGTGAGGTAGCTACCGAGCTTAGGAGTCTCTTTAACTTGAAAGCGACGCTTGTTTGTCTGCACTGCTGGCACTTATAGAGGTGGTGAGTGTTTCGGGTTTAGGGTTTAGGCTCGTGAATAATGCTACTTGTCTGACTGTGCAGCTGGCAGAGACAGGTCAGGTGCTGTGCATTTTGAATCGTGAAAGGGCGCCCAAGAAGAACCACAACCGGGGTGGCCAGTCGTAGCCTCACGGTACACCCCACATCCTAGGAGGTGGTGTGTGCCCGGTATACCAGGCCAACAAACCAAATGTCAGTCAAAGAATCCGTGGGTTGTTACTCTCTCAAACCTGTCCCACTTGTTGTGCGGGCACCATATCCGTCCTGACATGCCCCCTACTTTCCCACACATTGATGCCTGCGAGCCCCTCTCTTGAAGCAACACCCGACCGCCATTGCATCCCACAGTAATCCTAATCCGCACATATATAAAAATCCTTTGCACCCATGCCTGAGGCGTTTCGTGCTCTTGACAGTAGATTTGGATTATTCGATCATTCTCGGGATCATGCAGTGATTACGAAAGGGGTCCATTGGCCCATTCCCTGCAAAGCACCAAGGGGTTTGTCCCTGTTGTGAGGTCCGCGCACTAATAGGTAGATGGTATCTGCTTGGATCTATATGGGGATTCCGCCCGTTTATGAAGAGCTCTGTCCCTAAACGCTAACCGCCCGCCCCAACCCTAAACTACCAATAAGCTGACCGGGTTGCTGTTAAGGCATTCAAATTTATGGATACCGCAAAGGGTATATGTAGTAGCTACTATAGTTCCCCCATTCTTGTAGCTTGAAACTAAGTTCCTTAACAGCAACGCAGTTGACCAGGTGATGAAGAACGACAAGACTGTGGACCCTCGGGACAAGAAGTCTACCAAGGCATGTGTAGGGTTTAGGGCTTATGAGGGAGAGTTTGGGGTTCGGGGGTTCAAGATGCAGGGCTGATGGCAATTGGTAAGTGTACCTATAACGCCTAAGTACCAAGTCCCCTGACCCTCCGCGTGGGTTCACTTGGGCCCTGCGAGGAATTTTTTGGTGTTGGAGAAAATGCACTCGAAGGGGATGGGGATTTGATAGCAGGAATCATAGGGAAAGAGGAGAACATACAGTTTTGTTTGGGAAAAGATAGAATTGTTGGCCTTGGTGGACCCTTCGGGTCCTGTCTAGTCCCTTAGTTACGCCTTGTCTAGGGAAGGACGAGCGACTCAAACCTTCTGCCTGCAATGTGCTGGTTCAACTAAGCTATAGTTAATGTAGACCCATGATTAATAAACCCCCTCCTTTTAAGGGCCTGAATATTAGGATCTTTAGCATAATTCATATTAAGGGAGGGGGTTTATTAATCAGGGGTCTGGGTTATACCATGTCCTTCTAAACCCCTCATCCTAAGTCTAGATCCTTCTAACCAGAATGGACCTTGACAAAAGCAAAGTCAGAAGGGGCCAGTTCCTTTGTGATGTCGGCTCTATACTTACTTAGCCAATAAAAGAACTTTAAACTTTTAGGCATGCCTTTTGGTGTCTCTATAATAAAGTGTATTGTTTGTTGCCCCTGGTTATTGGGGAAGAGAGTATATAACCCAATAGATATAGTAGTTTCCATTCTCTTTTGCATTATCCCAATATAACCCCAATAGAACCTCTATATGTGATGTCGGTTTTTCAAGTAGATAGCACTTTGCAAGATCTCATGGCCATATGAGCTTTGCGGCTTGAACCCCAGACTCCTCCTTAGAGTTCAACTACCCAAATACTGGCGTGTTAAGTAGGTCCCCGCTATAATCTGACTGGCTCGAGGTCCCTAGTACTTTAATCTGAATGGTATTTGGTACCAGTTTGGACCCTTAGGATCCTGGACCTGCCGCATGCGCGCGGGGGCACCTTCGGTAAACAACACGTTTTTGGCGGTTTGCCAAGTCCATGCACACGAACAACAGAGCCTTCAGCGAAAGAACTCGCAGAAGGCTGCAAAACTCAAAGACACTCCTATCTTGACCTGCTTACCCTGGATTTCATTGCAGGTCATCCAGCTGGAAACGGCAATGGGCGCTGCTATTTCCTGCTTCGAGGGAGCACAGGCCATCAAGATTCCAAGGACCGATGAACACCCCTCAAAACATGTGCATGATGGCGTTGCGGTGTACCTTTCTACTGAAGGTAGCTGCGTTTACGATAGTTCTGAAGCACATGACAATGTTGTCATAGTCATTTGCCAATTCCTGATGGTGGTGGTGTCAGCGGCGGTGTGCAGCTGCCGGCAGATGAGGAGCAAGAACAGATCTCAGCCATGCCGATTTGCTCCACAACAAATGCACGCCAAGCTAAACCTACGCTGTAACGGGTTACGAACGGGGTTGCCAATGCGTCATGCCTTGGGCCCAGTTAGGGCGTGGAGAACACGCCCGCAAAGATGCCACTGCTACAGCACTGATGGTTGCTGTCACGACCCAAGGAAAAATGAGGGTGCACGCGGGTGGGTGTGGAGCGTGGGAAGGAAGGTGTTGGGGGCCGGCTAGGGCAGACCTTCGAAAAAAAAGCACGAAAAGCCTCCTTTTCCCCTTTTAAACTCCGGGTCCCAGGAAGCCTTTTGCTCGTACAGGGTTTCTGTGAGCCGAGTCTCCGCTGAGCCGGGCCGGCCCATGCCAACCAAGAGGAGTCAGCATGGGAACAGCGATGGTAAGCACAATGTTTCGTTGCAGTCACGGTTGTTTTTTTCTGGGCTCAGTTCCGTTAATGAAGTGATATTGCAGCTAGCCGCGTTCAGTTCAATAGTTGGGGCGCTCAATTGCATGACCCGAGCATGGGGGGATACTCGTGCGAAAAGTTCTTCCTACCTCCTCCTCCAACTACTACTACATTACTACTACTACTACTACTACTACCGCTAAGAAGACGATGACGACTATTATTCCTACTAGTATTTGTTACCTGTTTTGCTATTACTACAGTACTAAATCCCAGGACCCGCTTTGCCCCGGTGAAGAAGACTGACGACCTGTTTGCCCTTCGCTCGGATGCCTACACCCTCACGGAAGCTCTGCCGTGTAGGGTTACAGCGCTGAGGGTCGAGGGGGGAAGGTGCAGAAATGAGACGGGTTAAAGTTATCAAGCGTCCAGGGGTTATGGCTCAGGTTTCTGGTGAAGCGTTCCACTTGGAGGTTTCTGCGTGGTTGCAACCGAAGCCCTAAACCCCTTGCACATTCCTACTACTTCATCTAGGCGTTGCAGAATGCTTTTCCCAAGCAATCCATGCAAACCGATGTAGATCCTGAAGGGTCCAAGTGCCCAAATAACAGGGCTTGAGTGGCTTGTCGTACCGAAACCTCAGTATCTGGGTGCTGAGGGGATATACCCTGAACCCTAAACCCCAATCCCTTGATAGGCTCCAGGGCTGAAACTGGAAGCATCTATGGAACTATGGAGCACTAGGGTGCCGGACCTCCAGTTGCATTTTTTTGGAAAGGGTTAACCCTAAAAACTTTACACCTTTTGGGGTAGGGGGTTCCTTATATCTATTTAGCAAGGTTCGTTCCTTTTCTTCCTAGGGTAATGTGGGCTAAGTAAACCCTACTGTAAGCCCTAAACCCTTCGGGTCCATCCTCAAAGAACTTCGCTGATGAACGCTGGGGCTGTATGAGGGTTCAAACACAGGGGCTCTTTCGGAAGTTCCCATTATAGAATTTGTTCTATGATGGGTGGGCCTTTATTTAGGCAACCCCATCTCCGTAAGAACACGGAGATACAAGTTGCAATGAAGCAGGCGTCTTGACACGCCGTAGGATGATGCTGTAGGAAGTATAGGTCAGGACGTGGGGAGTTATGAAAAGACACTGAGTTGACACCTCTCCTGGAAGCCATACTTAGAATGACTAGTGTGCCCATGAAATAAGGCGGTTCTTAGATAATACTAAACTACCATGGTTCCCAAGGTATGAGGTACTCAGGCTCATGCACGGGTTTCAGTATCCTCCATATTATCAGGCCACGAGGATTAGGATTCTTGGTCCGACCTGAGGGATAGGTAGGTCCAGTCAGGGAACCCTACTGGTGCTTAGGGGGGGAGTGGGGAGTGAATATAGGTACCATTCTAGGGGTATATGTTAGGGGTTTAGGGTTTAGGGTTTAGGGTATAGGTACCATTGTAGGGGTATATGAAGGAGGATTATTTCCAGGATCCACTTCCCCAGTCTCCCTTTAAGCAGCATAAGGATTGTACAGTCATGGGAACAAGCTGCGGTAGAATTTCCATCATATTCTACTGGCTCTTATAACCCAGATGAGGAATTGGGGTAAACAGTTTTGTTGATACCCAGCTTCTTCGGAGACATCCTGAGTTTGGTATTCACAGAGCCTGAAGGGACACCATACCTGGGTGCAAGTGGTGACTTACATCAACTTGCAACCGCGTACACACTAAACCCTACTACGCTTTACCCTGAACCCTAAACCCTAAACGCCATTACCCCAGTTTGGAGCCTTGACCCCATAGCCTGAAGCGTTAACCCTGGACCCTGAGCCCTGACTCACGACGCCCCAAACCCTGAAGCACTAAATCCTGTAAACCCTACCTGGACCCCAAAAGTATTCAGATTATGGCTTTGTGCTGTTTTTAGGTGTTTTGGGTTATTCTTTTACTTACCTTTGGGCCTTTGGGGTCCAGGTAAACCCAAGACCGTCAGCTCTAAACCTAAAACTCTCGGACCTCAACCTGTAGACTCTACGACCCTACGCCTTAAATCTACGTGGTAGATTCTCAACATAGGGCAAGCCCAACATAGCGAGTGGGGACCCCCCAAAATAGGTACCAGTAATTTTGAGAAACCCTAAGCCCTAGACCCTGAAGCCTAAATACAGTAGGCGTTTCCATGTTTGCATTATCCCCATTGCCCCTAATTTTGGGAACCAACCCTAAACCCTAAACCCCCAAATATCCAGGAAGACTTCCGTATCGAGTTGGTGGCCGAGAGGGCCGGAGTGCCTCCTTTGATCAAGTTGCTGGGCTGTACGGTTTAGGGGCCTCCTGAACCCCAAAAGTATGTAAGATAAAATATACCCTTTGAGCTGTTTTGGTGGCTTTTGGATTCTTATTTGGTCTATACCGTGGATGCAAAAATCTTGCTTCTCCTAGGACCCCTTCATATTCCATGTTACGTGTATACGGTTTATGAGGTGGTGCAAGATTTCCAGCATCCACAGTAGTTGGTCAGGAGACTAAAAAAGAGTGGGTTGCTGTTAAGGAACTTAAATAAAGTTACCATAATGGGTATATGTATATAGAGAGTAATTTAGAGGGTTCCCCCAATATAGTAGTTTAATCTAGATTCCTTAGCAGCAACCCAGAAGAGGCTTTCCTTCCACTTAGATCCTGATGCTTGAGAGTGTCAATGGCGCCTCACTCCTCAGAGAATTGAATCTGTAACATATTGTCGCTTTAGCAAGCCACCTTCTCATGTCTCTTAGCCAGGGCAAGCTAACGCGAACCCTACACCCTAAACCTGATACCCTAAACCTTTAAAACCTAAACCCTACATCCTAAACCTTATACCCTAAGCCTTTAAAACCTAAACCTTACATCCTAAACCCCAAACCCAGAACCCTAAAAGTTCAACCCCTTGGTTTTTATACCCCAAAAGCCCTAAACCCTTATCCTACCTTTTGAGGGGTATAATAAGCCCCATTATAGCAGTTTCCATTTTCTTTTCCATTATCCCTATATAACTCCGATATAACCCGAACAGAAGTCTAGTGGAAGCTCAGGCTCGACGATGCATACAAGTTTGTGGATGCTCTGGATACATTGACACTTCGCTTAGGGTCAGGGTTTAGGGTTTAGGATTTAGGGTTTAGGGTTTAGGGTTGATACATTGACACTTGGCTTAGGGAGTCTGACTTACTAGGGGTTAGTAGTGAATAATTAGTATGGGAATATAGTATATAGGAATATGGGAATGATATGAACTGTAATCTAAACTCCCTAAGGGGGGGTTTATAGAAAGGAATATATAGGGGACTATTTAGGGGCTACTAAGGGGGATGCTAGGAGTTTAGACTATGGCTAACATAGGGATGATACTCCCTTATTCCCAAGTAACCGCCAGTAAGCTGAGTCAAACTGGGGATTTTTGAGGGGTACCTCGAACAGACCTCAACCTAGAGTCGGCGATTGTGAGGAACCTACATGACACCCCCACATACAACCTCAGTTTTCATTTCATCTTCCAAGTTCTTCTCCACTTGATGTTTCATCATGTGTATTGATTGGGTCATTCCCCCACCCAGTAACTGTCCTTAAAGGGGGCCTTATTAAGGGGCTATTATAATTCCTATTACCCCTTGTGGTAACTGTTACTGTAAGGGGGAATAGCCCAATGTATTGATCTAGGCACCTACAGTAGAGGCCTTTGGATGCATCTTGCCTGGGTTGATCCTCTGTGGTTCAAGGTTTAGGGTTGAGGAAGTTGTCAATGACTGTGATGACTCTATTTGGGTGGTTGTCAAAATTATGGGCCCTTTTGGGGTACCCTAAATACCAGGTGCCGTATTATAATAGGGATCCAAAAAGGGACCATAATTTTGACAACCACCCATTTGAGTAAGGACTTTCGCGAGTGAGGGTTTTACCGAATTTTACACCGAATAACCCGGCGTAAGCTTTCAGGACGTTTGGTGTACTTTCAAAACTGGACATGCATTTTTTTGGCGTTTTCGATGTTCCAGCACATTATCCAATTTTTTCTTTGCGCTCAAAAGCAGCTTCATGTTGCTGAGCTGGCTTAAAATGAGCTGAAAACCATTGACAGAGCCCTAGATTCAGGAATCATGTCGTCATCGTTGCCAGTTTTCAGCATGACAAAGGTTCCGCGGTCATGTTGGTTTAAGAATGGGATTTCCATTATGAACCCTAAGCCCTACATGTTAAGCTTCGAAGACCCCCAATGGCCCGCAATGACCCCAAAAAACCTAGCTTTTAGCGCTCGCGATTTTTTCCTTTGTGGTTTTCTGGCACCGCCCGATTGCAGTAGCGCTCGCGAGTTTTGCCTTCGTGCTTTCCTGGCTTCGCCCCCGCCGCCGGCAGGGCTTGCGAAATTTTCCTTTGCACGATGCTGGCGCCGACTCCCGCGGTAGCGCTCGCAATTTTTTCTTTTGGATTTTTCTGGCATCGACTCCTGTGGCAGCGCTCGCGATTTTTTCCTGAAACTTTGCCGGGCGACAGTAGCGCTTGCAAATCTTTCCCTGAAACTTTGCTGGCGCCGACCCCCACAGTAGCACTCGCGAATTTCCCTTTGGACTTTCCTAGCGAAAATCTGTGGCGCGCGGGTCGTTAGGTGAAATTCGTCGTCGTTGGGTGGGAAAAGTTGACAATTCCGGGTTTATGGGGTCTATGAGCTCAACCTGCGCCCTAATACCCAGAACCCTGAACCCATTCGAAGAAATGCGTTTCGTTCGGTGAAATTCGGTGTCGTTTGGTGAAGATTCGGCGACGTTTGATGAAGATTCGGCGTCGTTTGGTGAATATTCGGCGTCGTTCGGTGAGATTCGCCGTCGTTCGGTGAAAATTCGGTGTCATTCGGTGAAATTCGGTGTCGCTCGGGCAAATTCGGTGTCGTTCGGTGAAGACTCGGCGTCGTTCGGTGAAGATTCGGCGTCTTTCCGTGAAAATTCGGTTTCGTTCGGTGAAATTCCGTGTCGTTTGGTGAAGGTTCTGATTCGGCGTCGTTCGGTGAAATTTGGGGTCGTTCGGGTGTCATTCGGTGAAATTTGGCGTCGTTCGGTGAAATTCGGTGTCATTCGGTATCGTTAGGTGTCGGGCGGCTCCGTTCGGTGAAATTCGGCGAGCTTTGGTGGAAAAGACTCGGCGTAAGCGTTTGAGTGTTTTTTTTCAGAGAAAAATATGCGTTTCGAGGCCTTTTTTGCAAGGTTAACAAGCGTTTGGGCTGTTTTTAGAGCCGGGACACTGAACGACACCAAACGACGCCAAATTTCACCGAACGACACCGAATTTCACCGAACGACACCAAATTTCACCGAATG